GTGTGTGTGGCGTGTGTGTGTGTGTGGGCGCGCGTGCGTGCGTGTGTGTGTGTGTGCATAAGTGGCATTGCCTGAGTCTGTGCGTAGGTGTATATAATGAACATACACGGGACCATGCTTTGCATCGACAATTGTAAATGTTGGTGCAGCAAAAGCTACCGTGCGAGAGAAGGCCGCAAGAGGAGAGAAGAGAGAGAGAGAGATGAAAAGACACGGAGAGAGAGAGAGAGAGAGAGGGAGCGAAAGACAAATCGACAATGGTAAATGTTGGCGCAGCAAAAAGCACCGGTGGAGAGAGGGAGCGAAGATCGCAACGAGAGAGGAGAGAGAGAGAGAGAGAAAGAGAGCGAGAAGAGAAAGAGAAAAGAGAGCGCGAGAAAGAGAGAGAGAGAGACAGAGAGTAGAGAAGAGAGAGAGAGGGGGGAGAGAGAGAGCCGAGAGAGAGGACGCGAGATCAAGACGAGAGAGAAAGATAAGAAAGCGAGCGAGAGAGAGAGAAAGAGAGAGACAGGCGAGAGAGGAGAAGAGAGAAGAGACGAACACACGAGCGAAAGAGAGAACGCACGCAATAGCAAGCGAGAGCGACATAGATATAATTAAGTCTCCACCACCTATACGCACGTAGCTCACCTGACGATGTTGGATGATTGAGGTCGTCCCACCTTCTTCAGCGCGGGTGCGATCTCGCGTATCATGTTGAGGCGGGATGCCTCCTCGTAGAGTGCGACGCGGTTTAGGTGCACTATATATGCCCATCGCAGTTAGGTTTTAGATGAGCTCTGTATGTGTTTTCACTATATTTGTACACACTGTAGGGCACTTACAGTATGTAGGCAGGCCCTAGCAAGTTCAAGGGTGATTAACGCACAGAACATTCCTGGAGTTAGTGAATGCTCGCCCACACTAAACTCGCAGTAACAACACACACTGCACTTCTACCAGGCGGACGTGGAAAGTTAAGATAGACAGATGTACATGTAAATCACGTAGGAAGTGTAACTTATATGCACACGTGTATAACAGTTAAAACACAGCATCGTAAAACTCCATACAGCACGTACTAGCTGCCACTCGATCGTCCACTTGTCTATGTACATTGTCATTTGGAGTTCGTACACGATCAATGTCATTTCGGACAAGGGCTAGAGCATTATCTTTTAGTTTTTTTTTTATACAGTTAGTGGTATAGATTAGATTCTAGATTAGACACGTACTCTGTAAATCTGTAAGCCTCGATCGGCACACACCATTGCCAAAGTTGCCATATGATATCAATCCATCACAAGATACAATTTAGACATGAAACGGCGAAATAATTGGCAGTTTTTTACTTAGAAGCACGTTTACGAAACGTGATTAAATTATTTACTACGAACATATATTGCTTATCACTTGTAAATTTCACTGCAATGTAAAATAAACAAGCCCATAATTACAATTTATACATCTGCCAAATATAGGGAGGTGCTTTGTGGAGATTATTCATATGATTATACAACTTAATCATAAAACTGCATTAAAAATGATATAATTTCTAGTAATCACATACTGTATATAATTTATGCATTCAACAGAAATCATTGGCTACTTTTTCATGCACTGCCCATAAACAAATCAATTCTACCATTGCGTTGTCCCCTCCTCGCAAATCGTACACAACAATAGAAAGTGAGACTCGGTATCACTATCACGTTTCGCTATCATAGTAGAGCTATAACAAACATATGCTCATGGGTGATATTATAAAGCTACTGTACCTTGTCTGGGACGATCAGCTGTTTCCCGATAGATCCTCGTCAGTGGAAATGGTCGTAACTCACTAGAAATGTGGCGTCGACGTCGTTGATATGTAAGATCGCGACGAAGTGGACATGGCCACGCTGTGGTAACTGGTAATGTGTGACTGGTCCTGGAAAGACATGAATGGACAACCCTGGAACCAAGAGATCAAAGTAGTGGCACTATTGCCGCCGCGCCTTCGTCAACACAAATTTATCGCCATTTAGAGAGATGCAAATAGGCTCATAATACGTCTATCATTCGAGCTTGGCGTTTTGCATAAATTGGCGTTAAGGGTGTTTCATTTGGCGTACCTAGTGATTTTATATGAATTTTTCTTCTATTTTCATTCATTTCTTTGAGAGCAAACATTTAACCACGTGGGATTGAACACGAAATACGTGATTGGTCAAAAGTTTTAAATGCTGCTCGATCGGGGCCCATTGGAATGTATTGGACCATTTTCATCATATAAGGCGTGTGTTAGCTTATTTTGCATGTAACGCGCATAGTTATCAAAGTTATTAATAGTTTGAGACATATAGAGGAAGTAGAGACGCAAATATAATTTCTTAACATTCTAATAAAATACTAACAACTTCAACATAATAAAAGTATTTCTTCTTACTATTTGCATGTGTACCTTACACCCCCTGTTTCATAATGGATCATGCGAAAGCGATCTTGATGTCACGTGAGCAAACAGTCACCGGCAAGATGGCAGCAATCATATCAATGCCGTTAAAGAAGGCTTCTGAAGTTGATTTACATCGCCCGTTAGCCAACTTTATCGCTGGAACTTACAGTTCTATGGACAGTCCTGAAGACTACAGCACACAACTGGCAGAATTACAAAAATTAAGGACAAATGTCTGTTGCAGAGCGCTCGACAAACACGATTCGTCTCTGGATCAGTTATACAGGTTTGTATTGTACATGTATGATGTAAATAACAGTTTTGTGTTGCAACCCGGATCTGTAGTTTAATATTGCTGTCAGCGTCACCTGTATCTCTATGAAGCAGAGTATTCTTTCTCTAATAATGATAATATCTCAGCCCGTACTGTCATTATTGGCTTAATTAAGTTTGGCTTATAAGTCTCCACCACCTATACGCACGTACTCACCTGACGATGTTCGGATGATTGAGGTCGTCCACCTTCTTCAGCGCGGCGATCTCGCGTATCATGTTCAGCGGGATGCCCTCCTCGGCGACGACGACGCGTATCTCCTTCAGCGCCACCTCCTGGCCCGTCGTGCGCTCGCGCGCGTGGTACACGGTGCCGTACGCGCCCGTACCGATCGGCGTCGGTGACAACTCATAGTTGTCCAAGTCAGTGAAGTCACCCTCTCTCGCCTCTCCCTCGGCTGCCATGGCAACGGGTAGCTACATCGGGGTCAAGGGTCGCGGTGGGACATCATGGCGCTCGGCTGCAAGTGGAGAGATGGAGACAGGAGACGGTCAGATGGTTTGTTATTCGACGACGACGATGACGACGACGACGACGATGACGACGATGACGACGATGACGACGATGACGACGATGATGACGATGACGGTGTAAAATGCGCTCGCGTCGTCGACGTCGGCGAATTATAAATGCGCGCGTGCGGCAGAGAGAAACCGAGAGAGAGAGAGAGAGAGCGAGCGAGAGAGAGAGAGAGAGAGAGAGAGAGATCGGGCCTGAGAATCAAATGCTAAACAAACTCTCAGCTGATCGCAGCGCACTCCCACGGTCCAGTTACCAACACTGACCCAATTGCGCGGGTGGCGCGCGATTGCACTCGCAGCACAGTTCTCACGCGCGCACCGCACCGCACCGCGCCGGAGCCGCAGAGCAGCCGAGACGAGCGGCAGGGCGATGCGGGATGCCGCTGTGAGAAACGAACCGCCGCCGAGCAGCGGCGGGCCGCGCTATACGTACCCGCTGCCCGACCCCCTTGCCGCTGCGTCTCCCCCGCACGCCCCGCTAGATATACATTCCTATAGCTGTATGCTCGCCTTTGCCGTTGCTGCAGGCTCACGCTCACGCGCGCGTCTCTCTTGAGCTTCCTTCCCGTACGATGGGTACCCCCCGACGCGGGTTCTTCAACCCTGGTCCCTAATAGCGTTTCCCCGAGCCCACTCACGCTTCCCTTTAACTTCCTTAAACCGAGGAGTCCCCTCACCTTCCCATCCGCCCGCTAGACATTCTCCGACTCCCCTCACACCTCTCCCAACCTTCCCACCCGCCAGCTACCAATTCCCCGACTCCCCTCATACCTCTCCCAACCTTTCCACCCGCCCGCTAGCCATTCCCCGGCTCCCCTCACACCTCTCCTACGTCCTAACCTTCCCACCACCTGTTAGCCGATTTCCCGACAACCCCGCACCTCTCCTATCCTTCCCACCCGTCCGGTAGACATTTCCCGACCCCCCAAACCTCGTCCTACCTTCCCACCCGCCTGCTAGCCATTCCCCGGCTCCCCGCACACCTCTCCCAACCTTCCCATCCGCCCGCTAGACATTTCCCGACCCCTCACACCTCCCCCTACCTTCCCACCCGCCTGCTACCAATTCCTCGGCTCCCCTCACACCTCTCCTAACCTTGCCACCACCTGTTGGCCGATTTCCCCCTGACCCCGCACCTCTCCTATGTTTCCCACCCGCCCGCTAGACATTTCCCGACCCCCCAAACCTCGTCCTACCTTCCCACCCGCCAGCTACCAATTCCCTGACTCCCCTCACACTTCTCCTAACCTTCCCACGCACCCGCTAGACATTTCCCGACCCCTCAAACCTCCCCCACCTTCCCATCCGCCCGCTAGACATTCTCCGACCCCTCACACCTCTCCCAACCTTCCCATCCGCCCGCTACCAATTCCTCGGCTCCCCTCACACCTCTCCTAGCCTTGCCGCCACCTGTTGGCCCATTTCCTCCTGACCCCGCACCTCTCCTATGTTTCCCACTTGCCCGCTAGACATTTCCAACCCCCACATCCCCACTTCCACCCGCGCGCGATAGCATTCCGCCGCCAGTTGACCCTCCCGCCTCTCCTCCTACGTCCTAGACTTCCCACGCACCTGTTCAGCCGATTTACCGCAACCCCAGCACTCTCTATCCCTTCCCGACCGTTCCAGTAGAGCATTCCGGGACACCCCAAGACCTGTCCTACCTTCCCCGCTCAGCTAGGCCTTCCCCCGGCTCGCCTCACACCTCTACTCAAATTGCCACACCTGTGTGGCTCGATTTCCCCCCTGACCGCGCACGTCTCCTATCTTTCCACCCGCCGCCGTAGACATTTCGCGACCGCCAGCCCCCACACCTCGTCGTGACCTTCACACGGGCCAGCTACCAATTCCCTGACTCCGCTCACACGCTCTCCTACGCTCCACGGCGGAGCCATCGGGCAACGAGCCGGCGCTAGACATTTCCGACCCAACAATCTCGCCCCTACCTTTCCACCCGCCCGCTAGAGACATTTCGCGGCGATCCCCTCACACCTCTACTACAGCCTTCCCCGCCGACGCTAGACATTTCCCGGCGACCTCCCAAACCTCCGCCTACTTGCCCCCCCGCGCGCTAGACCTTCCATCCCCTCACACCTCTACTACGTTCCACCCGCCCGCACGAGCATTGTCCCGAGCCCCCCCAGAACTGGGCGTCGCTACCTTCCCACCATGCCACGGCCACGCTACCAATTCCGGGCACGGCTCCCCTCAGCACTCTACTAACCCACTGAACCCGAGTGCGATACCCGGTAGACCAGCATGGGATTTTCCGCCGACCGACCCAACCGGGGGCCGCCAAACCTCGTCCTACCGGAGGCCGCACGCACGCTTCACGCGGGGCCGGCGACGCGCAGCACATTTCGCCCGACGACCGCTCCCCAAACCTCGTCCTACTTCCCACGCCGCGGCGCCTAACCAATTGGCTGATCGCCTGACTACCGCTCGACGCAGGATCCTCTACCTAACACTTCACCCCGCCCGCTAAAACATTTCCCGAACCTCAACCGTCCCCCTACCTCCCCACCCGCCTACTACCATTCCGCGCTCCCCTCACAGACCTCTCCTACCTTGCCGCCACCCTGTTTAGCCCGATTTCACCGACGACCCCGCACTCTCTATCCTTCCCACACGCCTACTCGGCGCCTGTCCACGGTAGCCGTTCCCTGACCCGCTCCGCACCTGCATCCCACCACTTCCCGACAGCAAGGGTGGAAATGTGCGGGAGTCCCGGAAGTCAAATACTGCTGATTTTACTGGCCGGGACTGCGCGCCTGATTTCACAATATACAGGAGTCGTGGTGACTCGCCTGAAAATTCTGCTATACAACTAGTTCGTGTCCAGAGCACGGCCCTCGGCGCCGGCGGATGACCGCCGGCGTATTTTTTCACGGCCCTACACTGTCCCACACCACGAAAACTCTCTCGGCCAGATATCCTACTACACGGGCATGATCTTTTAAAAAATAAGCGACATGCGTTATTGCTTAATATCCTGATAAATTTGAAGCCTCAGACTGGGGAGGTGGCCCATCTTTTTGAGTAGGATGGTCGTCCGTGGACAGCAAAGGAAGTAGGCTTGTGTATCACACAAAGTTAATTTCTACCGCCTCGCGAAGCGAAGTGAAAGTGACCCGGCGTGCGAACGGCTGCACGTTGTTTATGGAGCATCTGGGAGAGTGTTTCGAGCAGGGACGTGGGTGTAGCCATAGCAGCGTGGGGGAGGGGCGTGGGTGGAGCCGAAGATGGCGTCCGTGGGGAGGGGTAGCGGCAGAATGTCTGACCTTTGTCAAGCGGTCGGGTGGGTGGACAGCCAGTGCGAGCGTGGAGGGAGGAGTGGGTAGAACAAGTCAGCAACCGGGGGGGGTAGGAGTAGGTGGAACGAATCGGCGATCGTGGGGAGGGGTAAGCGGATTCGTATTTAAGCGTGGGGGGTGGAGGTGGAAGCCCGAACTGGCCGAGCCGTGGGGACCGGGTAGAGCGCGGCATATTCGATGTAAGCGCTGGGGGATGGGATGGAAGCCATGAAAGCGCTGGGGGAAGGGTTGGCGTGAAAACATCGAAGCGTGAGGCTGGAGGTGCGGTGGTACGCGTAGTTTGAGCGGGGGAGGTCGGTGGATAACACCATGGTGAAGAGCAGCGGAGAAATAGAATGGCAAAGCCATATCTAACGCGCAAGGCCACAGCGCTGCCAGTGCTGGAGCAGGGAGCTGCAAAAAGCCGAGGGTGGCATTCGGTTTCCTCGGCTAATAGGTCGGCGAAAGGCGGATGCGGCTGATACCGAGGAACGAGCCCGGAGCGAATGATAGCCGTCAAGCTGACATCATAAGGTACGGGGGAGCGGGAGCGGGAGGGACACCCGATTACGACCAGGACTTACGGGGAAGTAATATAACACAAACGATGCCACCCCCGCAGCGACCGGACGCCCCGTCCCGCCGACCGCATCCGTCGAAACAAAGCACCGCGGAGCCAGCAAAGCGACGGGAGGAAGACTGGAGCATGTCCGTGCCGACGCGCGAGACTGATTAAGTAAGGGGGTGTGCCGGACACGCGCAGGCGCTCAATCCGCTTTTGCGGAGAAAATGCATCACTTAAGTGAAAGGCGGGCGTCGCCACATGGTAGCTTCGGCAGCGCAGCGTCGCACTAGAACACTCTACTATCGTTGCATCAAAAGCTGCCACTTGTCTTGCCATCGCGCGCGCGTGTGCTGGTGGGAGAGAGAGAGAAGAGAGAGAAGAGGAGAGGAGAGAGAGAGAGAGATAAAGAGAGAGCAAGAGAGAGATAGAGACGAGGAAAATGGAGAAGAGAGAGAAATTGGAAGGAGCAGAGAGAAAGAGAGCCGAAGTGGGAAAAGAGTAAGACGAGACGGGTGCAGACTGAAGAAAGAGGAGGAAAGAAGGTGGTGGTGAGACAGTGAGAGATACAACACA